TGTGCTTTGCGTGAAGCAAAAGCAATCTTTAGAGCGAATGCCCCAAAGCCCATTGATACCGCCAGCTACTCCTTTATTGCAGCTGACACACAAAAACAGCAAACTCAAAGCCAAGCAAACACACAAAATAAAACTAAACTAGTACCCACAACAACTACGAACCCAATTTCTCCCTTCTCAATAACACCGAACATACCAAACTCTCAAAATTTCACTCAACAAAAAACACCTGTTACGCAGCAACACATCGTAGATGAGTTTATCAGCTCTCTTTCCACCACAATATATCCACCACACTCAATATCAATAATATCGCAAACCAATGATCACAATAAAGATAACAATATACACCTCGTCTCTCTAAACCCACCAATATCAATCTCTCCTACAGAAGAACTTAACGACAACGATTGCGCATCTCTTTCTGCGGCATTCTCCAATGGGGAACTCTCTTGCTTAGGAAAAAACAACTTATAACGCCCTTCTCCCTCCCATGTGTATCTCTATACTACAATGGAATATGAACGGCTACAACAACAATTACCACGAACTACTACTAATTATAAAAGAACAAAATCCCGACGTAATATGTATACAAGAAACACACTTTCCTTTCAATACACGTAATTTTTTCTGCCCGAACAACTTCACTGGGTATTTTTGTAACTTAGATACGAACCTAAGTGCTAAACAAGGCATTGGTATCCTAATCAAAAAACATATCCCACATGAAGCTTTAAATATTAACTCTACCATATGCACACTGGGGATTGAGATACGCCTTAACCCTAAAGTGACTGTGCTCAATAGCTATATACCGTCACAACAAAGTTTCTCATCCAGAGAACTGCTTAAATTTTTGACACCAATAAGTACGCCAATTATATTGACTGGCGATTTTAACTCCTGGAGCCCACTCTGGGGCTCGCACGACGTTAACTCCAGGGGCAAAATACTAGAAGATGTCATCCTCTCAGCCGATCTAGCTTTACCCATATTGATTTGACTTTAGTCACACCCAGTCTCATGCCAAACTGTGAATGGAAAATATCGAAAGATCTTCACGGTAGCGATCACTACCCGATAACCACTACCTTTCAGACTCAATTTAAAACTGAAAAACGTGCAATATCGGTGAAATTTAAAATTGACCAAGCTGATTGGCACAAATACCAGGCGAACTGCATAGAGCGTTTCACTTTCGCAACCACTTCTGATGTCAACCTTCTTGCGGCAAGAATTACCAAAGCTATTAAAACTGTTGCAAATCAATCAATCCCTCAAACAAAACCTTGCCGCCAGACATGCACAGTGCGTTGGTGGAACCAAGAGCTAAATAAATTAAGGCAAGATAAACAAACTTGTTGGAGTATTTATAAAAAAACTGGGACCATACCTAACTTAATTTCATACAAGAAAGCCAATGCCATTTTTAAAAAAGCAGCAAAGGCTGCCAAACGTGCTTCCTTTGAAGAATTTTCGGCCAAAATATCACCTACGTCTAGCATAAAAAAAGTCTGGCATGACATAAAATCTATAATCGGTATCCCATCACACACTATAGTATCACTGGAAAAAGACCAAAAAGTCTTCACCACCACTTCCGAAATAGCGAATGCCTTTGGCAGCCATTGGTCCCAGTTCTCCAAAGATGAAAATTTCTCTAAAGAATACGTTGAAAACAAAAACAGAATACTCACGCAGAGATATAATCCCAGCAGATTAACGTTATCTGCGAAGCACCTAGAATATGACTTTTCTTTCACAGAACTTGAATTAGCCTTACAAAGTACAAAAGGTAAAACGCCTGGTTATGATCGCATTTCCTATCCAATGCTAAAAAATTTGCCACAAAGTGCGAAAATTAAACTTCTTGAGATGTATAACCTTATGTTAAACAAAGGCAGCTACCCTCACAGCTGGCGATCGGGAATCATAGTCCCTATACCGAAACCAAACAAACCCTCACATGAAGTAAATAGTTTCCGGCCGATATCACTACTATCATGCCTAAGCAAAGTCGCTGAGAAAATGCTCGCAAAACGACTACTATGGTACATAACGAAAAATAAATTTATCAGCCCTAATCAAACCGCTTTCAAGTCAAAACATTGTACCATGGATTCTCTGTTGCATCTTCAACACTACGTGTCTGACGCTCTTTCAGCTAAAAATCATGTAACCATTCTGGCTACTGATTTTGAAAGAGCTTATGATCGCGTGGGGGTGCATGCTGTACTTCAACAACTCGCCAGCTGGGGTGTGGGTCCAAAGACTTTCAATTTAGTAAAGGCTTTCATGACCGGACGTTCCTTTCGCGTTAGAGTAAACAACACACTGTCAGATTTTTATACATTATACAATGGCATCCCACAGGGATCCCCACTATCAGTGGTATTATTTATGATCGCATTTGAACGATTAAATAATGTGATTCTTAAACACAAAAATATTGAAGTGTCTATTTATGCAGACGATGCTTTGCTCTTTAGCAAGATAAATGATACAGTAGCTTTAAACAATACATATTTAAAAATACTATGTGATATCAAAGAATGGGGCAAATTCTCAGGAGCAGCTTTAGCGATTAATAAATGTAAAGTCTTACATATTTGTAAAAAACACCACTGCAATTATCCTCCATTGATATATGACAATTGTACTATTGAATCCACTGACAACCTTAAACTACTAGGTGTAATTTTTGATAAAAGGTTTACATTTAAGCACCATTGTAAGTACGTGAGAGAAAGTCTAAACAAACGCCTCAACATAATTAGATTCCTTAGCTCCAGGCGCTCGATGGTTCATCCGACAATATTAACACAAGTGACTAAGGCTCTTATGCTGTCCAAGATCGATTACGGGTTACCGATATACGGATGGTGTGCAAAGTCAAACATCCGACTTCTTCAATCCCCATATCATACGGCTGCCCGGCGGAGTATTAATGCCTTTCCAACCAGCCCCACCAAATGTATACTAGCTGAAGCGGGACTACCATCAATCTCCGAAAGAGTTCTACAAACAACGCTCAAACTCATACCAAAACTTTTGTGCACAACCAACACCATTCTTCGAAATGACGTAAAGAAAGCAGCTAAGAGCGTACGAAAGTTTAAGGTGACATCCACCCTACGCAGAAGTATATCTCTCTGCAAGCAATACGACATTGCTACGAGCTCGCGTAATAGAATCGGCCCAACAGCTCCCTGGCTGCTAAAGCATTCATCATTCAACACGGTACTCCAGCAGTATAGCAAACCAACTACCAACTCTGCAATTTACAAAAAAATATTCCCGAAAGAGGCAGCTGAACTCAACGCAAACAATTGGCAATGGTTATATACAGACGGATCGAAAAGCGAATCAGTCACGGCATTCGCTGTCATAAATTCCAAAGGAGCCAACATATCAACAGGCATACTTCCATCCTACTACTCAGTGTTTTCGGCTGAAGCAGTCGCAGTATTTGAAGCGGCAAAATATGCGCAGTCCAACAAAGGAAAATTTGTCATAGCCACTGACAGCCTATCAACCATCTCGGGAATACAAAATATTTACAGTAACAATAGTTTACTCGCCGAGATACGCGAGATTTGTGTCAAATCTCCCAGAAAAATCAAATTGATGTGGGTTCCCAGTCACAAAGGAATACACGGCAACGAGCTTGCTGATACTGCTGCCAGAAACGCTAGTATACGCCCCTGCCACATGATTGTCCCTGGCATTGAAAAAGATATTTTCAACAAAATAAAAATGATCAACCAAGAAGTGGAGTCAAATGAGTGGTCGTCTTTCAACCACGCATATAAAGCCATCAACCCATACAAAAACAGCATCCGCTTCCCAGCCGACTTAAATCGCCGCGACTGCAGTGTGGTAACCCGTATGAGAATTGGCCACATAAAAATATCACACTCACACCTCTTAACCGGAGAAAATAGATCAATATGCCCAAGATGCGGACTAACCCCAACCGTTACACATCTACTGGATGACTGTAAGTCACTGGACAACATCAGGCGTCAACACTTCAACTCAAAAACACCGTCTTCGCTACTTAAAGATATAAACTCCTCGAATATTAATATTGTCACGTCATTCCTTAAATCTGCCAAGTTATACCACCTTATATAAGGCAAAGCATCGCTCGTATAATTAATGAATAGAAATTTTTTATTTTTTATTTTTTTTTCCATATACATATGTACACTAAGCTTAATTCAATTTCGCTTTTAATATAGGGTCGATGGTCTATGCAACTAGTACCCATAAGTTTCCTTTTTTTGAATTAGTTATAATATTATAGTAATATGTATTATAATTAATTGTTGTAAATAAATAAATAAATAAGATTCTACCCTGATCAACTGCCTTATTTCAGATATTTTTCCTTTTTTGAACCATAATTCCACAGTGCACCAAAAATAACTAAAAATTACTGGAGTTTGGATTTATGAAATCGGCTAAACTTGGCCTTCAAAGGGCCAAGGATATATCGCCTAAAATGCTCGCATTTTAAAGCATGTTAGGAAAGTATATCATGAAATAGTTTCAACAAAAAAGTTATAGAGATGAAATTACAATTTTTAGCTATGTAATTTTTTTTTGTGGTTTCAAAATGTCATGCAATAAAATTTTTTGAAATGCAAGACAGCATTTATTGGATAATTTTTTGTACGATAGTGTTTTTTATTGAAGTAAATTGCATGCGATGCTGATGTTTTCGGGTGTAGCAATTTCTTCGAAAATATCTCATCACTTTGCACAAAAATGTCTACTTCCACCAATTTTTTCTCGCTTGCTATAATTTTTTTTTCACAATTGCCTTCAACACCAACTGGAAGACTTTTCTCTCGCAGACGAGTGCGTATTCGCTCATTCTCTCTTCAACGGCCTATCAAAAGTTAATGGAAATTCCGATGAGCAAGCAACGAAGTGAATGAATCCAACTATCTAGCCGCAGGAGCGAACATCGACCGTTCTTGTTCAGCCGCCTCAGTCAGCCAACAGCCAAGTAAAAGCAAAGTAGTGGAGCACTTTGCCACGACCCTGTGTGGCATGTGGCAGTTGTAAACGCATCGTGTGCAAGTCAAGTTGATAGCAGCGGTTAACGTGTGAATTTAAAGTAAAGAAAAAATCAACGACAACGCGGTGTAGAAGTGAATTTGAAGTAGAGAGCGTGTGTGAATAGAAGTCTTGAAAGTTTATCAGTAAAAATTTAACAAAAAAAATTAAAAAATATTTAATGAATGCAATTGATTGTTGCTGTGTAGTGTGTGAGAAAAGTAATTATTGAACAAACGCTTCAATGAGCTACTGATAGGCGAGTGCGTGAATTGTGTAAAAGTCAGTCACACGCTAAGTTAAACGCTGCTGGCTGATAAGCTACACATGTATATGTGTATGTATGTATGTATATATGACCACAGAGCAAGCCACTGAAGTATCGAGCGGAAGCGTAAATATTTTGAAAATATACAAAGAAAACATTTGCTATAAGAAAATTGTGCAAAAGGTCAACGAAAGTTCACTAAAAGCAACCGGCAACGCCTCGACGCTCGACGAAGTGTACAGAGCATTGACGCTATTTTGTGACAGTTACGCCTGCAATAAGCGCGATTGGTGTTGAGAGTGGCAGTGCAAAAGTGTTGCGCGGAAGTGACAATTATACAGTAAAAAGAAAAAGAGGTGGAAGCTAAAGTGACATTTGTGAACGTTTAAGAAGACACTTGAGTGTTGGTAGGCTCATAAGAACTTTTATGATCCCAGACTAGTGTAAAGTGGTGGAGCGCCGCTGAAAAAGGTGAGATATTGCAAAAAAATCATAGAACAAAAACCGGATATCTATGCACACACTTTAGCCTTTTTATATATGTTTCTAATGCGTGGAACATTTGACCGCGCGAAGAAGAACGCTTGCGAAAGAAAAAGCATTTTTAAAAGCTCAGACGCCACTAAAATATGCAAAAATTACTGTTGCGTCCAAAGCGCCTCCCAACGCGCACATTTTAATTAGCAACTAACTACTAACAACCCACCGCGCGTTTCAGCGCCGCTCTAATGCTTAATAAAGAAGTGTTTTACAACACGTTCATTTTCGCGAACTTTTGAAACTCTATGCTGCCTAGTTTATTTTATAATATAGCTGTCAATAAATTAAGCTTAAGCTTAGCGCTTGCAACTAACTTGTTATTGTTGTTGTAAAGTGATTTAAAATATATGCAAATTAGTAGATGAACTAAACGAATTCACCGGGCGCGCGGCCTATGAAGACATTTAAACTCGTGAACGTTACTTAGCTCATCATCAGCGCCTAAACTAATACTGTTTTTGCACCTAAAAAGGTAGAGCCTTGAAAGCGCTGGTAAAGCAAATTGTGTAAAAATTCACAGTAAAAATTCTAACAGCGCAAAGTCCTAAGCGCGCGCTTACCATTTACTGTTTCTCAATAAAGCGCGTTATTTACCTTTTTAACTGCTCCGAGCAACGGTTGTATAATTGTTGTACTTGCGCTATTGTAAAGTAAATTAAATGCAATTTTCACGCATTCTTTGTTGACATTAGCTACGCCAACATTGCCATT